CATTTACGTTTTCCATTTCAACAAAGATATTATTTGTTGTGTGGAGCTTTTTTGTTAAAACATTGTCACATTAAATGTGTTCCTGTCCTGCTGTTTAGGTTTTGTTTTCACTTCTACAAAGTAGCATTACTTACCTAATATTTGATGAAGTTAGCATTGCTTCCCACTTAACTGATCACTGACAGATTTCATCAAAATATCAGAAGCATTTCTGTGAAACTTTTAATGAAGGCCTCATGTGTTTTAAATTAAGAACAGAAGAGAAAAGTCTCAATGTTGAAAATGAAGTCAGATTTCTACAAAAGAGGCACAGATTTCACACAGTCCAAAAAATGTGGTTTGACATAAAATTAAGTTAAAAAGCAACAATAGTCTCGTTTTATCAGTGCAAACTAAAGGAGTCTTTGAAAGATCCTCATCTTTCTCCTTTACARCTCGTCCTCCTCCTCAGAGTATCCATGATCAGCCGTGAAGGTGGTCTCAACTTTGTATTCCTGGATGGCCTCGTGAAGAGACCACAGCTGGCAGAGGAGAGACATGTCCAGCTGACGCAGACTTACCTGCAGCATAAAACAAAACCTCTGATAAATAATAAACTACAGACTGCATATATATATATATGACTTAAGCCCCGCCCATTCGCTGTCAATGAATTAAACATTGCTCTTAGTATTAAATAAATAAAAAAATATTTTTGTTTACATCCAGACATGATCAGCCAATCATCTGACTCAAGCTTCCACATGATAATGATTTGTTTACATTGAGTGTGGACCCTCACTTCACGTCCACATATCAATATATCTGGAAAACTACTGGAATAAACTATTTCAAACTGTACTATCTGATAAARTTCATTATATATGTTTACCCTAAATGCACAAAAAGCTCAACATTAAACCCTTTAAAGACACGTGGAGATGAGCAACTCGCCATTTCTTTCCTGAGGAGCGCCAATGCAGCATCCAGTCCTCCTGGTTTGGCTCTCAGAGTCTCTCCGCCTCCTCTGCTGCTGATTTCCGCCTGGATTCGGGTTCTCTTGCTGTGGACCTTCTGCAGGTCCCTCCAGGACCCCCCGCTGGAGTTCAGGATGCCGCTGAGGCTCTTGGGGAGAGGCGGCAGACCCCCTGCTGGGTTACAACCCGCGGCTCTGTGGAAGCTCCCGTTCATGTTGGAGTATCAGCGGACAGTTTCCACAAAGAAACAGAAAACAGTCAGGACAGAAGCGTCACGCAGCGTTGTCATCACTGAACAAAAGCATGGATGTGGGCACAGTAACTTCCGGCCTTTGTTTAGCAGCTCTGTGGGAGGAGGCGTTGGCAGCCCCCTTTGTGTGAGACCCTTTGGGACATAATTCATTCCCAGACAAACCCAACCAAACCATTATTGTCTGTGTCCTGTTGTAACAATTACAACCTAATTACAGACATGTTAATTGCACACACTGCAGCCAACCTCCCTGGACATGGTCACAGGAGAAAACATGACAAATTGAAGAGACAAATAAAGAATAACCAAAAACCAAGAACAATTTCTAAGGAGGTCTAGTGACAGACAAAATGAAGTTTTCTGAACACAAATATGAAGCAATTGTGTTGAAACAGCCCAGTTCGGCAGTATTCATAACATTTAGTATGGCGCCATCTGCTGGCCAACCTTCAACATCGCAGGTGCCTAAAACAAAGCAATCATAAAACAGGAAAATGTTACCAAGGCACAGGTTGAATGCTTAACAAACAAAATAAACATTTTTTAAAAAAATAACAAACTGCTTAAAATTATAAATATTTAGTTAAAACAAGACAAGCCAGATTTTAAATTAGATCTCACGCAATATAGTCCAAATGTGAAACTTTAGCTCAAATGCATGCATCATATAGTTGCACCTTTAAATGAAAACTGCCCAAATGGCTTGACATGATGACAAATTACCCTACATGAAACATGCACAAATAAATCATCTTTATTTTAATAATATGGACATTTTTCTGTGTTCAGCACCCTCTTGTGGAAAGAAACGAGCTGCCGCACTGAACAGTTGAAAATTTATTCAGGTGCATAAAAACAACCAAAACGGCTTTAACACTGGAATTAGGTTTTCTAAAATGCAATCTTTCTAAAACATGTACAACACTGGGAGTTTTTCTAAATAAAATGTAAAAAAAGGGCAGCAGTAATCCTCGGCATCACTGAACCACACAACCTTTTTTCATACATCAGGTCTAAAACCGCTCATCGTTGTTCGCCACCAACATGGACTTATGTGCAAACTCAATATTCACATTTGTGCACAGGAATTCAAGGGCTTAAAAACTTAACATCTTGAGATTTTTACTATTATTGTTATTAAAAAAGAACCAATATTTTAGGTTAATTCGATAGAAAAAGGAGAACTAAAAAAATGGGCATTTTCTTTGTGGTTAATAAGACTGAACATTGTTTAAAATATTTTAATGGTATTGTCGTACATGTCAACGCTGCCAGAAATTTATCTGCTAATTTACCTTCAGAAATGTGTAAATTTCATTAAAAGAAAATCTACGGGGAGGCATCTGCAGAGCTAGCAGGTAGTCTAGTGGGGTTTAGGGAGCAAACTTAGCCTTTCCTTACAGGCCGGCTCTGAGAGGGAAAATAAATTTGAAGCTAAGTTTTTGAAAGAGATCTTCTCTACACATCTGTATACATGCAAAATGGTGGGAAAACTGTGTCATCTGTACAACTTAACATGTATGTATTCTAAAATTACAACAGGAAGCTAATGTGCTTTAACAAATAATTGTAATTATAACTTACAAACACAATCACGTCATATTCCTGCCAGCTGCATGCCGAAATGAATCCAAAAGCAGCTTGTGCACTTTTAACATTCTGAACCTATTTCAAGTGCATTTTTAAATCATTTTTTAATTCATCTTTAAGCAAAGATTCAGGCAGAGAGAAGAAGCTAACCCAAAGTCAACGCTCCAAAGCAGCAGGGAGTAAAAACACGGCTCCCGTCACTCCTCGGTTTGGAGCAGTCCGTCGCCGTGGTTACTGGCTGAGCTCCTTGAGGCTGCGCAGCGAGTTGGCACAGCTGGTGATGAGGCCGCAGAGCTGAGTGCTCACCTCCAGCGAGGCCGAGCTCTGCAGCTGGGTGGTGGCCCAGCGAAGTTTGGTGAGCACCGCCTCCTCGGCCTCCTGCAGCACAGGTCGGAGGGCGGAGCTCGGCGGAGGGACGGGAGGACGGATGGGCGCCAGCGTGGCGGTGGGGGCGGGAGCTGGAGGGGGCGGGACGGCGGGCGGAGGCAGCAGGGCTCGGCCTCCGGCGGCRGCTCCTTCGCAGTGCTCTGGTCTGGGCTGAGGAACCGACCCACCTGACTGGCTGCTGCTGGCCCCCCCGTTGAGCTGAGCGGCTTGGGTCGGTGGAGGAGACTGAGCTGCAAGCTGCCGTTCTCTCACCTGAGACAAAGCAGCCTGAGCATTCAGAGCTGATGGAGGAAACAAAGAGGTTAGAATGAAATGAGGAATTCACTYGACTTAGTGAGCCTGAAGCTAATTTACAGCTAAAACATGCAGGCTCAGTTTCCCCCTTAAAYTACTTTACTTTTTACATTAAGCACCAGCTTTTATCTACAGATTTAAATCCTGATAAAGTTAAAACCACACAAGAGTCCTGACATTTTATGTCCTCTACATCAGCATGGGTTAAAGTCAATCAATATTTATTCATTTGAAATAGGGCTGCGCAGTATATGCGGTAGATACGATATAAATTTGTGCTATGACAGAGATCTGTAGTCTACCGGCCAATTCTTTTTGATGACGCAACAGGCTGGAGTCAAAACAGAGGAAGCGGAAACCAGCGTGGCTGAGAGCGCAAATGAAGAGAAAAAAAAAACGTATCAGGACCTGGTTCGGGTGTGTGAAAATGAACGCCGAACTGTTTACATGTTTACGTGACGGCGCGCCTGCAGCGGCACATGGCGACGCAGCGAAGCGACAGTAAGCGCAGGGCTCCAGCGGGACGCACAAAAGCTCGTTGAGTCTGGACCTCGTTTCTCCTGCGGTCATAGCGCAATACTGTCTCCTTGTACAGCGGGGAAGTGCTGTGGGAAAGGCTGACAGTCAGACTGTCTTTAAAATAAAGTAAAGCATAAACGGGATGATCGTCACCCCACCGGAGCGCGCACAGATTAAACACGTGGAGTGCAGAAAAAGTAATCTGCAAATTGTGTAGAAAGGAATAAATACAAGCATTTTGTTTTACCACCTTAAAACGAAKCAGATGATTCCAAACACAACATCCAACGGATGCAGATATCTGTTACATTAGTTATTGTATGTGTGTGTGTACATKTATCCRTATCGAACCGTATCAAAAAGTGCTTTAGGTTCAATAAATACTTGTATCAAACAA